GCGCGCTCACGTTTGGTTTCGATTTGGTACTTTCCGTGTTTCGGCATTTTGGCAAATTTTTGCGTCGCCACTGGCTACACATTGCATTGCACCCTCGCCTTTATCGTTTCCCTTACTCCCCTTCCTTTGCCTAGCCCCACCATGGGCCCCTTCCTCTCCTTTTTATTCTCACCTGACGGTTGTTTCTGGATCCCCATTCTAATCCATTTTTCCGTCACCTCCACCCTCCTCCTCCTCATTTTATTTGCACCCCCACCATTTCTGATGTCACCACTTCCTATCCGCTTCCGTCGCCGATCCGTTGACTACCACGTGCCACTGCTGATATCAGCAAAGCCCCGGCGGCCGGTTCAAATAGGGCAACAGGTCCATCTTCATGACGTCGATCTACCATCATATACTATCAAAACATCGGTTGCTCGTCTTGCCTGGTTGGAGCGTGGGTGGGTAATTTTTGAGCTGGAGAAGGTTCATCCCCTTGCGTTGCCCATGTTCATCGCTGTCCCATTCACTTGGGTACACTTATCATTTGTCCATCGTCTTCGCTACAGCTACACCTACCACACGCTGCCTGGGACTCACTTGTTCCAAATTGGAACTACTCCTCTCCCTCCCTCGTTTGATCAGGTGGTCCAACACAACCAGTCCATTGGTAAGGCCATGGAACTGTCAGATTTGGACTAGGTGGTGGACCGGTGGCTCCAGTTTCTTTTTCTTCAGCAGAACATTCATTTACAGTGCGATTATTTTTGATTTTTGAATCATTTTTATGGACACATATTTTTTTAGAATGCCTGACTGACAATAAAGGAACTGTGTTGATACTGATAGTGTTTTGCCTTGCCCTTTTTTTTACTGCATCTTCCCATGACATCATGATTTTCCTGCTCTCCTTTTGCTATTGGACTTTACTTTATGGCTGTACAAACCTGTGACATTACTCACAGCATTTATTGTTCTATCCCTTTCTTTTCCTTTTTTTGACAATCTTATCCTGTACTACCTACGCAGGATTCGTCAGCGTACATTCCTTCCTTCATATTCTTTCTCATTCTTTTTGCACAGCTATACTGTGCATAGCCTACTTTTCTTTTACTATATAAACCCCTGTATTTTACCTTGTAAAAGAAAGGAAAACACAAGAAATCCAATCCAGACTTCTTCTCTACTCTCAAGTTCACTACTCTGCTACTTGTGATCCAGTGTGGTCACAACACTTCCCACTTCTACCATTGTTAACTGCTGTCATCGTCACTCGTCACTTTTGAAAGTGATTGTCATCCCTTTCGATTAGAGTCCTTCTGAGCACTACAGTTTGTGCGTCAGGAGCCTGCTATCACTGGGAACCTCATCACCTCATCATCCTTGTTGTTCTCAAACCTACCTTGTGCTATGATTAGCAAGGTAGTGCTTGTCTATACTCGTCACAAAGCCCCTATCCTTCTATAAAATCAACTATCCCTCCTCCTCAAAACCCACACTCATACACCTCTGGGTTTTACTTTGAAGGATCTTTATACGTACCACCCCACAAACAACCAGACCACTCCACTGTTCTAGGAGGCAAAGCCCATAAACAAGTTCCGTGGAATCTGGGAGGATTGTGTGTTAGTTTGTTTTGTGTGTGGTTTTCTAACTGCAGTTCTCATCATCGACATTGATAGGAAAGAATACTGTTTGACAGCCGCCGGCCAATTCCGATCGACAAACAAGCCTTCCACGGGACAAGGGTTTACTCGCTGTCACTTCAACAAAACTACCATGAACTCCGCATTCCAAAAACAACTTTCCGACATTGTCAAAACTATCAGGTCGATCCCGTTCAACGCCACCGTGGAAGCAGTAAAAAATAAGCCGAGCAATGTCGAGGCAAAAGCACTGTTTTGGCAACAAGAGGTGAGCGGAAAATCACGCTGGGCATTTATTTACTAACCTTCCTTTGTAGAGCTTGCTGTCACAGGAGTTCAATAAAGCTGAGGTTCTCATGCCAAAGGTCCGTGAGATGCCTCTCTACAAGACCTTTATGAAGAAGGTCGAGTATGTCCGGGAAATGGAAACAAAGGAGGACGACGCCATAGATGAAGAGGAGGATGATGACATGGAGGAAGAGGTCCCTCCGACGGTGAAATATCAGGTAAGTCAAGACGAATTGCCACAAGTGCCTTTAAAGCTGACCGAGAATACTACAACGACAGAGTCCCGGTCAAATACCACAAACACCAATGGTAAGTAAAATTCGCTGTCGGGTAAAATTTATGTAACCTAAACACGCAACAGACGAAAATGGGTCCTCCTCGAATCCGGATCCCGGCCAGGAAAGTCTCGTCAAAGGGGAAGGAAAGGGAGAAGGAGCCGGAGAGGATCAAGCCGAGATATAGACAAGTGGAAGTGGTGATCACGAAAAAAAGGTACGCGCAGAACGTCCCAAGTCCGTCGAAGGACAAAGGCAAGACGGAGGCGGAAACCCCCTCCAAGGGAAAAGGAAAGGCCAAGGAAACCCCCTCCAAGGACACCATCACCCCGAAGAAGCAATCAAAACCAATTCCTTATGTGAGTGGTCACTTGTGTAACGTACTGGAGTGAATTGACTTTGCAATATAGATAATACCCTGTGCGGAATGCCTCAGCGATGTGAAGAAAGAAGGGCCGCTGTGCTGTGTGAAGGAATTCGACAATCCGCGGGGAACGTCATGTATACCATGTCAAAGGAAACGAGCGCGCTGCTACTGGAGGTCCTCGGAGACTCGAAAAGCACTATTAAAGCATCAGTGGACCGAAGGTAAGGTTGCTCTTCTGGGCATGCCATGTATAGCGTACTTCAACCTTTATTAGATTCATGGGCCCCACCGTCCAAGGAGGAGATAGAGAAAATGGACCTCCAAGAACTCCTCGCAACACGAGTTAAGTGCGCTGAGATGTCTCTTATGGCGGCAGAGACGCTTTGGGATTTAAGTAAAATTCAAAAGAAAAAATTAAGTACTTGATAGGGATACTGGTTTCATGACTTTAATTATAAATACATTGTAACTCGATAGCCATTGACATAGATGCCTGTACCTTATCTTTGGACTGAACAGGTAAAAAAACGTAACCTGAAATTACAATCAACGGCTGAACACCGGAATAGGAATAAGCGGTAAAGTCAAACCAATTGGTAACTCCGAGGAGATGCATGTTCATATTTGCTATGGCACGTTATGCTCAAAATGACAAAGGAACGGCAAATAAACATGGGAGTAATAAATGGCCATCTGAACCGCCTGAACACCCTTAAAGGTCTGAACCCTTGTGTGTCTGACCCATCTGAACCTCCTTGGAGAGGGTTCCACAGTTTGAACCGACTGGTTGAACCGTCTAAACCTTGGCCATGAGCCTTGTGAGGCTCCTCAGAGAGGATTCCACAGTCTGAACCATGTGAATCATCTGAACCTCCTGGGAGATGGTTCAACAGTTTAAACCGACTGTCTGAACCATCTGAGCCTCCTCGGAGAGCGTTCCGCTGTCGGAACCTCGCCCGTCTGAACCTTGCCCGTCTGAACCGTCTGAACCGTCTGAACCTCGCCTGTCTGAACCGTCCGTCTGAACCGTCTGAACCTTGCCCGTCTGAACCGTCCGTCTGAACCGTCTGAACCTTGCATGTCTGAACTGTCTGAACTGTCTGAACCGTCCGTCTGAACCGCCTGAACCTCCTCGGAGAGCGTTCCGCGGTCTGAACTGTCTGAACTGTCTGAACCGTCTGAACCTTGCCCGTCTGAACCGTCCATCTGAACCGTCTGAACCTCCTCGGAGAGCGTTCCGCTGTCTAAACAGCCTGTCCGAACCGTCTCAACCGTCTCAACCTTCGAGTACGAGTCGTAATCGAAGAATCTAATAGCTAGGGAGATAGAGTGGGTCTAGAAAGTGGTACAATTGTATTTGCGATTTGATGATTGGCTGATAAGCCCAGTCGGCTTTAATGCGGCTTCAGAACACATGCCGGGCTATCTTTACCCGCGGGCCCCAAACCCTAAGCATGAATGAGTCATGTAATCACCGCTGACTCGGCAATTGGTAATCCCTTGTCTAAGTATAGCACCTAGGCGAAAGAACGATGTGATACGGCGGTCTAGATCTACCGGCCCGGTTACCCCAGTCTAAATTTCGCCCTATCTCGGCCCCCATCTCAGCGGTTCTCGCCCAAGTAGTAAGCGAACTGGTCTTGTGATCGGTGACGCGTGTAAGTTCCGGACTTGTCCATAATAGGACCCCGTCGGAGTATGCAATTTAAAGCGCCGCTACTCTCGCCAGTTTGCATATATAAACCTCTGAAGATACCACTGATGAGGAATAAAATCTGAAACTGCTCATCTACCTCCATTGAGGGCAGTCTGGTATCTCTTCATCACGCCTCCAGCCCACCGATCTCACTCAGCCGCTTCGCGGCTTCGTTCGATCGCCACCTTAACTTAACCTTAACCCTTTGACTTGGTGATGATCGTGAAAAACTTGTTTTTTTTTGCATTTGTTTGGCTCTGTTTGACCTCGTATCGTTGTCCCCTTTGACTTGGTGGTCATTGCAAAAATCTCATTTTTTTCGTGTTTGTTTGGTTTCATTTGGTTCTGTATCGTTGCCCGGCATGTGTCACATGATCCCGGGGATATGTCCTAGTCGTCGTCCCTTTGACTCGGTGGTTATCGCAAAAATCTCATTTTTTTTGTCTTTGTTTGGCTTTATTTGGCTCTGTATCGTTGCCTGGTTTGTGCCACATGATCCCGGGCTTATATCCTGATTTGGTCGTGGGAACAGCTTCCCATATACGCCTGTCATGTGACCATCATACGGTCGCGAGGTTCTGCTGTCTGAACTTTCCCTGTCTGAACCGTTGTCGATGATGAGAACTGTTGTTAGAAAACCACACACAAAACAAACTAACACACAATCCTCCCAGATTCCACGGAACTTGTTTATGGGCTTTGCCTCCTAGAACAGTGGAGTGGTCTGGTTGTTCGTGGGGTGGTACGTATAAAGATCCTTCAAAGTAAAACCCAGTGGTGTATGAGTGTGGGTTTTGAGGAGGAGGGATAGTTGAATTTATAGAAAGATAGGGGGTTTGTGGCGAGCATAGACGAGCACTACCTTGCTAATCGTAGCACAAGGTAGGTTTGAGAACAATGAGGATGACGAGGTGACGAGGTTCCCAGTGATAGCAGGCTCCTGACGCACAAACTGTAGTGCTCAGAAGGACTCTAATCGAAAGGGATGACAATCACTTTCAAAAGTGACGAGTGACGATGACAGCAGTTAACAGTGGTAGAAGTGGGAAGTGTTGTGACCACACTGGATCACAAGTAGCAGTAAGAAGTGGACTTAAGATTAGAGAAGAAGTCTGGAATCGAGTTCTTGTTGTTTTTACAAGGTAAAATACAGGGGTTTATATAGTAAAAGAGAAGTAGGCTATGCACAGTATAGCTGTGCAAAAAGAATGAGAAAGAATATGAAGGAAGGAATGTACGCTGACGAATCCTGCGTAGGTAGTACAGGATAAGATTGTCAAAAAAAGAAAAGAAAGGGATAGAACAATAAATGCTGTGAGTAATATCACAGGTTTGTACAGCCATAAAGTAAAGTCCAATAGCAAAAAGAGAGCAGGAAAATCATGATGTCATGGGAAGATGCAGTAAAAAAAGAGCAAGGCAAAACACTATCAGTATCAACACAGTTCCTTTATTGTCAGTCAGGCATTCTAAAAAAATATGTGTCCATAAAAATGATTCAAAAATCAAAAATAATCGCACTGTAAATGAATGTTCTGCTGAAAAAAAAGAAACTGGAGCCACCGGTCCACCACCTAGTCCAAATCTGACAGTTCCATGGCCTTACCAATGGACTGGTTGTGTTGGACCACCTGATCAAACGAGGGAGGGAGAGGAGTAGTTCCAATTTGGAACAAGTGAGTCCCAGGCAGCGTGTGGTAGGTGTAGCTGTAGCGAAGACGATGGACAAATGATAAGTGTACCCAAGTGAATGGGACAGCGATGAACATGGGCGACGCAAGGGGATGAACCTTCTCCAGCTCAAAAACTACCCACCCACGCTCCAACCAGGCAAGACGAGCGACCGATGTTTTGATAGTATATGATGGCAGATCGACGTCATGAAGATGGACCTGTTGCCCTATTTGGACCGGCCGCCGGGGCTTTGCTGATATCAGCAGTGGCACGTGGTAGTCAACGGATCGGCGACGGAAGCGGATAGGAAGTGGTGACATCAGAAATGGTGGGGGTGCAAAGAAGATGAGGAGGAGGAGGGTGGAGGTGACGAGGAGGTGAACTAAAATGGGGACCCAGAAACGACCGTCGGGTGAGAATAAAAAGGAGAGGAAGGGGCCCATGGTGGGGCTAGGCAAAGGAAGGGGAGTAAGGGAAACGACAAAAGCGAGGGCGCAATGCAATGTGTAGCCAGTGGCGACGCAAAAATTTGCCGAAATGCCGAAATGCGGAAAGTACCGGATGGAAAAGCAAAGGTGAGCGTGACTGGATTGCCTAATAGAGGTGGTGCTGATCAGCCACAAGTTCAAAAAGGGCAATATTAATTACTATTCCACGTGGCACTGTGCCTGTGTGGCGCAAAGGCGAGTCTTTTTGAATATTTGCTTCGTTATTGACACCTGTCCATGCTACCAATCAACTTTGGTGCATGACATCCACGGACAACTTGGAATTGCAACTGTCCCCAGTTGCTTCCATAAAGGTAGGGTCATAGGGAATGAAACATGGCAACACATTGAAGGGTCATGTCAGCATAAAATTCGTTCAGGTAAGTCATTAATCGTTATCTTCATCATCTGAGTCGTTATGCTCATAGTCAGGTTCATCTTCTGGTTCATCTAGGTCGTTATCATGGTCATCCAGTTTGTCCAAGAGTGGCATAGAGTGGCGGTTGAAATAGGGAAGTAGGCGAAATGCTGCAATTCCTCTTCGTGATACTGATCCATCCATTTCTTTTAGAACATACGATCCTCCTTTAGTACGTCGCACAACTTCATAAGGGCCATTGTAACGAGGCTTTGCTTTACGATCCAGCTCTTTCTCAACCTGAGTATTCCGCACTAGAACAAGCTCTCCAGGTTGGTATTCGTTCTTGAACATCCTTCGTGCATAGAGTTTCTCAAACTGGGCTTTAGATCTGAGACGAGTTTTGCGTATAGTGAGTGCAGCTTGTTGCAAATCATCCTGTCTCTTTTCTAGTTGACGAATGCGCAGAGCAATGAGGTCTTCTGTTGACATTGCAGTATGGAATCCATGAACAAGGAAAGTTGCTTCTGTCAGATCAAATGGTAGGACTGGGTCAACTCCGTGCAACAGATAAAAAGGGCTGAATCCAGTAGAACGACGAGTAGTGACCTTGTCTGCAAAGAAGGCATGATGGACCTTGGTTGGCCATAAATCGACATTCCCTTCACAGGACTTGACAAGTGCTTCTCTTATGACGAAGTGTCCACACTCAACAACACCATTTGCCTTGGAATTGTAGGGAGAAATGCGAATATGAGGGATCTGGTAACGTTCCACAAGCTCTTCAAATGCTCCTTTGACTTCGCTTCCATTATCTGTGACAACTTCTCCTATAGCTCCATAGCGACAGATGATTTCTTCCCAGAAAAAGCGAGCAAGATTATGTGCAGATGCTTTCTTCAATGCTCTTCCTTCTGCAGCAAGTGACAGATCATCTCTTGCAGCAACAAGATATCGATATCCTCTGGCCTTGGGCATGAGCATAATGTCGACATAGACTTTGGTGAAGATTGTAGGAGGTGATGAGATGGTAAGTGGGACTTCACTTTTGCGTACACTTCGGATCTGGCATTCATGGCAGGTGCGAATATGATGCTTGACATCCTGTAACATATGGGGCCAGTAAAAGCGCTCTCTGACTGTAGAGAATACACCATTGACTCCTCTGTGACCAAGCCTTTCATGTGCTTCAGTAAGGATGTGAAGTCGAAGGTCAGGATTGAAGATAACTTTGAGAGGAGGAGCAGAGTGACGACGCTTGAACATGCTGTCTCCTTTCAAGAAGAATTGAAGTGATCGCTTGACAAAACGCTTTTGAGCTTGAAGAGAGGAAAATATAGGCAGCTCCATAGTTTGAAGAAAGTGGAAGATTTGACGAAGGGTATCATACTGAGAAGAATCATTGGTAAGGAACGAAGGGAGTGACATAGGGTGATATGGGAGAGGTCTGGCAAGATCAACAAGAAGAGCGATATCATCAAGCCAATCATCTGATTCTTGAGCATCTTCAAAGTCTTCCTCTGTTGGTTGACGACGAGATAATGCATCAGGACCACGATGACAATCAGCAGGTATGTGAATGAGCTTGAAATCAAAGAGAAGGATGCCCTGAATCCAACGATTGATAGTGGCATTAGGCTGAAGATCTGGATCGTTGAGCATGCCTTTGATATACTTGGCATCCACCTCCACATGCAAGTGTTTTACTCCTGCAATGTAAAGGCGAAAATGACGAAGTGCTCTGAACAAACCATATAATTCTAGCTTGGGTTGACTGTAATTTGCCTCTCTATCATTCATGGGAATAGAGCCATAGCGAGCTGGACGCTTCCTTCCATTTTCATCAAGCTGGGAGAGGATAAAACCAACAACAATCTTGCTGGTATCAACTGAAAGAACAACTGGGTTGTGTGACGAATAATTTATAGGGTGAAGTGCTGGTGCAGAAGATACTGCATGCTTCAGAGCATCAAATGCTTCTTGTCTGCGTTCATCCCATTGAAATTCAGCTCCTTTGCGATACAATTCTGTCAAGGGGCGTGCAAGAGCAGAGTAATTGCGGATCCAAATGCGAACTGTGCCACATAGACCAAGAAAACTGCGAACGTCTTTGGGAGTCTGGAGAATTGGCCATTTAAGAATCTTGTCCACCTTGGTACTGTCAGGGAGACGACCTTCTGGGCAGCATACTTGTCCAACAATCACAACTTGAGGACGACATAACTGAGTCTTCTTTCCAGAGAAAGTTCCGCCAGCATGACCAACTCTATGCATAATGCGATGAACGTCAATGGCATGTTCCCATATAAATCTACGAATGCCAGGGTTGCCAGGAATGGTCTCTGGGTTGCCATCTGCATCTTCATAACGAGAAGTAGGTCCTTTGATTGGGAGGTCATCAACAAAGATATTGGCAATATGCGGAATTTCGTCTTGCAAGATGAAAGTCATGCAATTCTGGAATTCTGGAACGGAATTGGTGAATCCCATAGGCATAGAAGTAATCCTCAGAAGTCCTAGTGGCGATAGAAAAGAGGTAAGGTCATGACTGTCAGGGTGCACTTTCCGAGCATCAAATCCCCA